ATGACTCGATAAAGACTCAAAAACACTTTAGAAAACATTGTTAAAATGTGCTAAAAACACCATATATCAGTTTTCCCAGACTTAGATCCTTGTCTGTCCTCAAACAATGTCAAGTGTCAAGAACATGGAGAAAAGTTTGAAAGTTTGGGAACTCTCTTATTCTTCGCAACCATTCTTTAACCGCGAACATATGAACCATACAAGCAGTAAAATTAGGACAACACACCCTTACCGAGAACCCCATTAACTGATGTTCAAACCGGCTCCATACTCTATATCTCAAACCTGCAAAAGTTACACCTTCCAGAAAAAAATCCTTACATTCAATTAAGAGTGGCGTGAGCTTCGCATCATAGGCATTAGTCATGGTCACAGTCTAGGTTAAAACATGCCTTTTTGTGTTTAAGTGGAGTTAATTAGTGTTTAGAGGTTACCATTTTCGTAGAGGATGCAGGATATCACGCAAAATTGCAAGAGAGGATAGACCCATTGATGTTCATAGCCCCTACTCGTTTTTGCATGTTCTCTCTTCAGCACAGTCACTCTGATCAAGCGTATGTTCTTCTTTTGGAACAGTCGCTCTGATCATCTGTATGGTCCTCATCTCTTCAACTTGTTGCACTCTATTTTTTCTTCGATTTTACCAGTGGCTTCCGTCTATCTTGGAAATCTTCTCCTCCTCCATCACCTTATTCTGAAGTCCATAAAGATCTTTTTTTAAACTTGGTGATGGTGACAAATAAGGTGGTAACATTGGTGGTTTTGACGTGCCACTGGAGTTCTTGATTTCATACTCATTCTTGTTTCTTTTTACCTTCTTTACTTTCATGTTGGATCTATGGCGGCGGAGCAGTTTCTCCCTTGATTCCGCATGTTCTCTCAGTAGAACATTATGTTGCATTAACGAGTAAGAGACTGTGTCGATCTGTTTTTTTCGGCCCTTTTCACATATCTGTACATAAGATACTGAATAACAAATGCATGAGGGCGGAATAAAGGCTTTAGGATTTCAAGGTGGGTACTGGCTAAAGATGAGCTAGCCACTCAAGATCAACAAGATGGATAGAAAGAATAAGAAGTCCTGAGTGTTAATCACGTCGAACCCTAATCTAACGCCCCTGAAAAGAAGAATTTCAGTCAAGATTAGATTCAAGTTAAATGGAGTTAAGTATTTCTAGAGTAACCTCGACAAGCTGAAAGCTTTTGGAGAACAAGATGATGTAATGTCAGGGTGTTCCGGGTCCACATGTGTGTCTGTCGCTTCTGCTAAGGTCACTAAATAAGATAAATTAAAGGACAAGGGGTGGTTAATAAACATCACAAAATAAGATCATAATTCCCACAAAATTTTGACAGACTCGATTCTGAGACTGGCTCGATAGAACATCAAAATGACTCAACTGACTCGAACATAAAAACCAAAAGAAATAAACGAGTTAGTAAACGACAAAGACCCTCCCCTAGACTTACTTCACAACTTCTCAGTGTGAAAATAAATCATAGAGAAGGTGTAAACAAAAAAATAAATATAAATCTTTTTGGTCGAGATACTTACCTGCGTGGAACATGCGCTCCACAAAAATAATGGCTTCTCCATCGTCTTATCTCCACCTGGAGCAGCCGCTCCTTTCGGAGGGATAGCTGCTCCGCTTCTTACACCCATACACTTTTGAAGTATTTCGAGTTTTTCTGATTTTTGACCTGAGACTCAACAAACTAAAACCAAAAATAAGCAAAAGGAAGTCCTAATGATATTTACACTTATCAGTGGGTTGCCTCCCACCAAGCGCTTGGTTTATGTCACTAGCTTGACTTGGTGACAAGGATTAGTCGGGTTGAGCATTAGCGCTTGCTCCAAAACAAGCTCCACAATCAGACATGTTCAGCTTCAAAACTCTACCTAACAACCCTTTTACAGCAGATTCCCCTTTCTCCTTCAGCTCATGTGTGAGAATAGCTTTGACTTTAGAGAATGAATTAGAGGTACCTTTTCACTTTACCTCATATTCAATGGAGTTCTCATCACACATCCGAGGTATCAAAGTCATTGTAGGACCACCCTTGACCCTTTTTCTGGACTTTTTCTTTCACCCTTGCATTCCCACGGAGTTCATTGGTATTGATGTGAGGATCTCCATCCAAGACTTCTTTGATCTCACTTTTTTCACCATGTTCTCTTATGCTGGAGCATAGCTATTTCTTAGGAATAATTTTCAGTTGTTCTACACAAACCACTAAGATGCAGGAGGCGTGTAGTGTGGGAAATCTAGTAGGAACATCCTTGTAAAAAACCTTCTCGTTGATGTTGGAGAAGCAGACTCTCTTATTAGGCATATCGATGATTGCTTCCACTGTAGCCATAAATGATCTTCCAAGGGTCAATGGCATCTCATAATTCTTGCTCATCTCAACAACATGAAATTCAGTATGCAAAATACAGTCCCCCACTTGGATAGGAAGGTTGCGGATGGTACCATAAGGGACTGATGTGGAGGAGTTTGCAAAAGCCAGATTCACTGGAGAAGGCTCAACATCCACAATGCCCAACTCATCTACAATCGCCTTCGAGACAAGATTCTCATCTAAGATCCCCGGCTACGGCGCCAAAACTTGATACGCTAAAACTGTGTTTTGTTATACTGCAAGCTAACAGTGTAGATGTAGTATGTGAGATTCAATTCCAGAGGACCATTTTACACTTTATCTTTATGAAATCAATATTAAGCTAAAACGATATAAGGGTTTTAGAATTAAGAAAGCATAAAATGAAAGTAACAGATTGGCTTAAAGTTTTCAGATGATTAGAGATGCTAGCCTAGGGTGAAGGGTTAGGTGTCAAACGATCATGAGCCAAACATCTATTCAAGGTTTTATGAAGACCTAGTCTAGAAATCGAATCACTTAAGATAGATCAGCCCACTGTCGTGGTGCTTCACCTTTTGTCAATCAATCTCAGCACCTAAACTCTCATTTGGACTGAGACACAATGACAAACATTAAGATCAAGTTCGATAAGTTCACAAATTTCCCTAACATCTACTTTCGCTGGCTAGGGACAAACTGCTCATTCATCTTGTTTCTAGCAACCTAAGCACTGATCATGATTAGATTAAACCTAGTTTCAAGCACTAAATAACTAGTTTAATGCAAGCGGTAAGCATAAACATGAATGGAGACAATCAAACAATGAACCTTATTTGTGTTTAGGTCTTGATCTAGCACCCTAACACCCTAGACTAAGCGAGCCGGCTACTTAGCCATGAACAGAGAAATCAAAGAGAATAGAGATGAAGAAAACGTGTTTGAATCAATAAATAATAAGCAAAAGGGTTTAGAAATCTTTTCAAGAGTGTAGAGATCATTCTCCATTTACAATAAGAAATTCACAATAATCCAAAAACTCTAGAGTTGTTTCTCTGTAAAAAGTAGCGTAGAATATAATAGAAAAGAGGAAAAAAAAGATATATGAAGACTGCTGAAGGCTGGGAGAGAAATATGGGATAGCAAATTCCAAAATAGCATATTTGTTTCCATAATTATCGGGAACAGGCGGACGGGCTCCGTTCGATCATGAACAGTTCAGCAGACTGTTCTTCGTGAAAATCATCAAATTTCATTATTTTCTTTCAACTGGTCCATCTTCCATCCAAACACAACTCCAGACCTATAATGACTCAGAAAAGATTAGAAAGAACTCGATAAAGACTCAAAAACACTTTAGAAAACATTGTTAGAATATGCCAAAAACACCGTATATCATTTATGACAAAAGAACTTCGGATTCTTCTCAGGCTTATAACATAAGTGTCATTTGGCTGTTACTGTGTGCCTTCTCATCTTTAACTTTCGTGTGTGTGAGCTATATAACTTTGTTGCCTATTCTTTTTCATTCCTGAATATTATCTACATGCCCTTAATTATGTTACCTTTTACTTGAGAGGGCAAAATACTAGTTCGGTTCCACATTCCAGTTTCATTCTACCCTTCTCGTAAAAAATGATATTATACTTGGTTCTTAAGACCCGAGTTGATCACGACATTGATCTCTTGTCCCTTTTCTTAAAAAATCGATTGCCTTATTGGTCAAGTCTACTCTATGATCTAACTGCGTTCAGATTTGTGGAAGCTTGTTAAAACCAAGATTTTTAACACAAGAGATATACTATAAGCTGATATTGTTGAGGATTAGCTTTTGCTAATTTACCAACAGCCAGACCAGTATAAGCACTTACATGAACCTAAGAGCAATATAACCAAAGGCATACCATAGATGTTAGATCACATTGTACAGTAAAAAATAAGCCATCAATAACATCATAAAACACTATTGGCCTGCCTTTCCCAGATAGCTCAACTGGATTATCAACTAAAATTTCATTGTCTGGTCCTTATTTCCCGTAAAGGATTTCAGCATTGAGACGTGAAAATAACGTATTTTGCTTGTCAGGATCGAAGATCTTCATATCATCTTTCAGCTGAACATATAGATAGACCCCGAAAAACTTGGGTTGAGGCGAGAACCTGCCATAAGATTTCTGCAGAAAAAGTTTCACAGACTGAGATGTCAAAAAAAAAGCGGTGTATAGAACATGCATATTGCTATTGCCTTAACTTAATGTCCAAAGTCTTTCAAGGTTCTTAATACACAATATAGAAGGTCTCGGTGCTCAACACCTCATATTTGGAGCCTGGGCCTAAGAAGTTGTCAACTGTCTTCAGGTTTATTATATTAACACTAAGAACATGTGCCCGATTATCTCCATCAGTGAAGCTGCTCAGATAAATAAAATTACTCAGCTACTGCTGTAGACAGAACAACAAAACTGTTCTAGTGTCTAGTCTTGGCGCTTTTTGTATGAAAAGATCCCTTGCAGACAAATGGTAAACAATTCCACGAACCACCATCATTCATGCTAGATTCAAAGTGGCATACAGATCAGAAAATCAAATTTGGAATTCATATATATCGATGATACAAAAGCATAGGGAGAAACTGAAATTTCTAAAAGACAATCTCACATCTGAGATTTGATTTAACCAAAAAAACAATTTGAAAACCCTAGCCGCCGAATCCATAGAGAGTCCTTCCTTGCCTCTTGAGAGCATAAACCACATCCATGGCGGTCACCGTCTTCCTCCGTGCGTGCTCTGTGTAGGTGACGGCGTCACGGATGACGTTCTCCAAAAAGATCTTGAGGACACCACGAGTCTCCTCGTAAATCAGACCGCTGATACGCTTGACGCCACCTCTACGGGCTAGCCTCCGAATCGCTGGCTTGGTGATGCCTTGGATGTTGTCTCTCAGAACCTTCCTGTGACGCTTGGCTCCTCCTTTGCCCAAACCCTTGCCTCCCTTTCCACGACCCGACATTTTTCAACAACAGTAAATCTTGGAATTTTTCTTGGGGAATTTTTTTGGTTTGTGATTGTGGTGTAAGGGTGAGGAGAGCAGTGGGTTATATTATATAGTCGTAATATAATCTCATGCTCAATCCGGGTGAACATTAATGAATATGTATTGGCCGTCGATTAAGTGATAATCAACGGTTCTTAGTGTCGATCCACGTGATACACGAATGTCTCCAAAGTGTTCGCCAAATTATAGCGGGATGTTTTGTTACGGTTCGGATTTTGCATATTTTCCTTTCCCTCCCCCCGCCTCCCATTATTTTTGGAATACGCCTACTAAATTTTGACCAGTCCTTTCACAGGGTGAGTATATTTTTATTTTAATTTTCTGAAAAAATTTAACTTTTATATTTATGTTTTTCGTAATCATATTTTGTGTTTAATCATTGTTCAATGATATGAAACATATAGTGTTATTAATATAAATGACTAATACATGGATAATAAATAGTTAGACCATATATTTATTAACCGATCAATGATCATATTTTAATAGAATATATATTTAGATATTTAAAAATCAAAGGTATAATTAGGATTGGGTAAAAAATCCAAACCTGAAAAACTGAACCAAATCCAATCCGAGAAAGTAGTATCGAATCCGAATAGAAATTGGTGAAATATCCGAAGGGATTCAAAATTTTGGTATCTAAAGAACCAAACCCGATCCGAACCGAAATACTTTAGGTATCCGAATAGATCCAAATCAGATTTATATATTTGAATATATTAGTTATTTTTAGATGTAATATTGAAAAATTATCAAAAATAAATAAGATATTTTGAGGTTCTCCAAATATATTTGAAAATATATACAAATAGTTAAAAGTAAATATTAAAAGTAGTTAAACAATACTCAAAGCAATGTCAATACTTAAAAAACCTATTGATTCACCATCTAAATATCCAAGTAAAACCAAATTTTATGTTAAGTTAAGATACTTTGGTATGCATTACTCAAATTTATATGTTATAGATCATTTTTATTTTTAGGTTTTTGAAATTTAAAGTATATATGAATTTTGAATTTGAAAAATAATTTAAGCGGGTTATCAGAACCCGAACCGAGCCAGCAAAGATCCGAAACGAATCCGAACCAAAATTTGTAAATACCCGAATGGGGCTGAAATCTCTAACCTTGAAAATCCGAAAGCCGAAGACATCTGAATCAAACTCGAATGGATACATAAACCTCCACCTCTAGGTAAAATGATCTTTTATTATTTAGTGATTTTTTGGTTATTTTTTTCTTTGGGACTCAAGCAGTTAATTAGTTATGTATTATTTAAAAGTGTAGATTGTAATGCTAAGTTAAAATTTTTAGGCGAAAAATAAAACATAATTTTTATACAGACATTAGAACCTTAATCAAAAGAAAGTAGATATAATATGTAAACCGTTGACTAAAATATATATATTCTATTTGCCAATATTATCATCAAATGCTAATATCAAATACGATCACCATTTGTTCATTTACTATTTATTATGTTATTAATATATATAACTGTCGAATAATAATGGAGAAGTGGAGGCAGACGAACAATGTAACTGCTAGTGTTAGAGAAAAACAGAAAATAGTTAATTTTTAATAAATTTAGATATAACTATAATCATTAAACTATTATTATTGTACTACACATATGTTAACCAGGTTTTTAGGAAGAATCAACTTACTTCTACCTTTTTCATTGATCTAGGGAAAAGGAACAATCTACCAATTGGGAAGCTAGACATCAAGTAAGTAGCTTGATGAGGATAACTAAGCTGACACGCCGGAGTTGGCTACTGGCACAACAGGGTGGTGCCTTACCACGCCAGTTCGTGGTGGTGTTTCAGGATTCCAATGTACTGCGTCCAAAATCAGAACGAGCTTGTTGGCTGTCATGATCCAATTTTAATAGAATAGATTACAAAGACACATTTGTAGTCAGTTTTTGTTTCAAACTAAAACATATTGGATGTATGGGATCAGTAGCAAATCCATAATTTTTTTACTGATGTCCAAATTAAATTATTATTTAAAATAAAAATGATAAAGCATATTTTTATTAAAAAGGTAAACTATAATATACAAAATTATTGATAATTTTTAAATTATCAATAATTTTAGTGTAAAACATACAAAAATATTCAAAAAAGTAAAAAAAAAATATAATAGACTTGTCAACTATATCAATATATATATATATATATATATATATATATATATTAAATGCAGATTACAAGTCCAAAGTCGGGTTCACGAGGCATTAGAAGAGGAGAACTTAACAAAATATGATTCATATTGTACGTTTTCTACAAAAAATTATATATATAATTAAAGGGATGTCACACCCCTACGATCAGTGTAGGTCCCACTTCAGTATGAACATTTTTTATGTGTTGAAATTAATTTTTGGAGAAAAATATCTTGGATGAAAAGTAACAAAATTGTAACTATACATTTACTTAAATCATATTTTAAAATATGTAAACAATTTCATAACACTGACAAAGAAGAAACAGAAAACCAAAACTAAAACCTAATCTAATCTAGGAGGCTCCATCATTGCTTCACCGGCACTTTTTGTCCGAAGATTGCCCCCTCCAAGGAATTTCTCTATCATTTCCGATATCCTATATATTCCATCATGTTATCCCCAATTTATTGGTTGATCAACCAGATGACTTAGAATTTCACATAGACAAAATTCTTCATATGTTTGCATATCTTTCTCTTGAAGTTCCATCTCTTGTGTGGCCTGAAAAGACAAGCTTAAGGAAGACATTACTTCATGTACTTCTGTCTTAAACCCAAAAGTTGGTTGGGTCTATCGACTAGAGCTTATCCATATCTGCACTATCAAATCTTTAATGCTATCACCAGGAAGATTCAAGGATAGCTCACATGATTCTAGGAGGCTCACATTCTCAAAGGAATTCATCAATAGTGAGTAGATCTCAACAAATTTTACTTTTAATGTGTCGTCCGAGTGTGTGCAGGAAGATTTGGCATCCAATCTAATGAATGACAAGGATGTTAAAGGTAAAAACAAGGCTGTCGTTTCTACTGTATCAGTTGAACCTCCAACCTCAACTAGTGTAGCCTCCACCAGTAAACCACCCATGACACATAGTTCCCCTCAAGGAGCTTGAGCCTGCCCATTCAAAATTGTTGGTCCTTTCCATGCTTTAGAGAACTTTCCAAATCCAAGTTTTCATCATCTTTGTAGCTCCGAGCTCCTAATTGTGGCCTTCATAACTAGGAGCTACAAAGATCCCTCCCACGAAATCAAATACAACTTTGAGACATTCTTTTCCAGTTGATCCCAATATTCTTAAAGCATCTCAGGGATATATTTTGTCCAAAGATGAGAGCAGTTTGTAACTTGTGCAAAGTAACTAACAATGTATATTGGACCCAAACTCAAATCCACTTGAAATGGCTATCAAAGCACGAGAAGGCAAGGTCGATAGTAGGTTGGCCTCAGTCTCAACTTAAATGGATCTAGAATTTGATGGTTCCGAGGTTGTGTTAAACTAATGCAAGGCTATAAGACCGAATCTACAAGAAAAAAGCGATTAAATACGACACATATGGTCGCTAGTTTGTCATTAATTTCCTTTACAATGAATTGACAACGATATGTAAATCATCGTTAATCGCCGTCATAACAGATATATCATCGTAAATTCGTCGAAAAATTACGGCAACCATATTTCGCCGTTATGCCGCCATCACATACTTCGTCCTAAATTAAACGTAATTCTCGTATTATAATCCGTCGTAATTTTTTCCTAAACTGCTAGTCGTTATGTTGTCGTATATTTTGTCGACATAATAGTACAACGAATGTATTTCAGCATTCAATGTTAATTAGTCGTAAAGTTTAGGACTTATTAACATCGACGTAAATTATTCGTTATACTTACTACCAATTAACGTCAACTCTCGAACCTAAAAAAAAATAAAATTTAAAATTAAAAATTTTGTAAAATTGAAAAAAAAAAGTTATACAAAATATCCATAATATTTTAAAATCCAAAATATTACTAACCAAAAAGTAAAGAGAAAAATATATATATATACTACAAGATACAGTTTAGGTCATCAAGTAAGTCGGAACTATGGTCACTGGCACATTGATCCAGTTCCTTCTGCTCCTTTAAAGTAGGGTTGCACTGAATGGTTGGACGTACAGTACGCCACACTGATCATGACATTGTTGCTCCTCTGTATGGACTTCAAACATCCCCTCCATGGCCCTTAACCGAGCCCTAGTGTCCAGCTATTCATCACGAAGTACTGCAATGACGTTGTTGGCTGCCATTAGATCTGCACGGAGCTGAGACGATTATTCTTGCCTCGTAGCAGCGTAGGAAGATGTCGCCTTCGAAACATCGTTAACCAAACTGATGCTGATCATCCGTCCCCTTAATCGGGACAACCTTCAACTGAAATTAAATTGCTAAGTAGTAAAATCATAAATACCAGTTAAATTTTATGTGTATTTTAGAAAAAAATGCTTACATCTTCAAAAATCTTGTTTATTTCTAGCGTGGACAACTTGACGGGTGTGCCATCCAGAGTTTGTTGCATCAACTTGGCCTGGCACTCTTCAATCCGACCTCCACATCGTTGTAGATCATTTCCAATATATGATCCACAAAACATCCATCTTTGGTCTGGTGTGTCTCCTTGAAAATTCGGGGTAGAGACGATAATTCTTCTTCTCGAGCAGTCTAAAAACTAAAAAAAAATTTAAAATTCATTTATAAGCCTCTATAAATAAATATTAATTAATTAATATAAATTAAAGTTATTTACAAATATTTAACAATTACAGTTTGTAGTGCATTTTCTGCATGTGGCGTCTATCCCGAAGTGTGGACCATCGGGTAATTACCCTCAGAATCTTACATTATCCGGGCTGCCAAGTACAATGCAGACACTCTAACAGAACGAGGAGTAAACCAGTAGGTCTTCAGGCCCGTCCAAATGTAATCTCTGAGGAAGGTTGGCTTCACGTCATC